ATAATTCATCCAGCCCTGCACACCAAAACATAAACAATAACAAGAGTGGGGTAAGTTTATCCAAGGCAGGGGTCCACCACGTGAGCCAGAGCCAACACAGCCGACCCAACACATACAAGTGGCAGAGATACCCCCAAAATAGCTCGCAGTAAACATCACTCACTTTCTATGACCGCCCTACACATGCGCATTATCAGTGGGGTTTGTTTGTCAACTGACTTACAACCTTAACTTGTGTTTTTATGTAGATGGTACTATACTGTATTTACAATTTTACACAGCATTCAATAACTCAAACTTAATGCATAATTTATTTGTCTACAGCTGAATAACATTAAATGACTGATATAGTACTGTATTAATTTTTTACCCATTTACCGATCTCAACTCAACCAATTCTTAAATCCTTCACAAAAATGTACTGTATTAATAGCATCAAATCTTCCTTATTAACACTATAGACCACATGAGGTCTTCAGTCCACCAATGCAAAAGTCCCATTTTTTTTTAAATTATTCTTCTTCCTGTATTCCATGTACTTCTTCACTTATATGAATAATAATAATACGGTAGTTCTTTTCATCCACAGTTATCACATTATCTCCCTCATATTCTACTTTAACATTTTGACCTACTACTGATTACTTCATCCCCACCATCTACCTTAAATGTTAATCACCTATTAATCTCTCATCCCTTGCATTTATATACTGTATATATTTGTTTATTTTCATCAAAAGTTGTACAGATACCCTTGTTTCTTATCCACTTCTGGCACTTCATCTTACTGTAGTAATTCCTAATTGCTTTCTTGTCTCCCATCCACCTTACTCTTCCAACAAATTCTTTTCCTTTATGCTCTTTTAAGGATTACTTCCTTGTTCAATATTTTTTCCAATATATCAGTGAAACCTTATACTCTTACAAATCTCTCTCATTCATGTGTATTTTGTAACCTGTGCATATATTTTTCACTCTACAGAAAAATTACTCATGCAGTGCCACTTCCAAAAACCACACTTACTACTTTATTCCATCAAACTAACAATCCTCTCATACACTTGCTTCCTCATTCTATTTTGTTACTTTACTCCTAAGTTTCTCTCAAGTTCGAATACAATACAGTACAGGACTTAAACTTGTTTTTTTTTTTTTTTTTAGGATTTTAAGACACACAAATATGATAAAACATTTTATACACTGTAACCTACTTTTTGTAAGAAAAGCAAATATATAAGATTTATTGGAAAGATAGATAACATTAATGACTAACTTCAATCAAACTTTTATTATAAATGAACACTTCTTACACCTACATAAAAGACCTCCCAAAAAGCCAAACCATGAACAGAGATAAGACTTCTTTCCGTTCACTGTCTCGTCATTCATGCTGGGCTGCACCACAACTTGTACATATAATCTCATTAGAGAAACCTTCTCAGCTACTGGTGACAGTGGTGCCACACACCAGCAAGTGTAAATCAATTTCATCTTTAAGCCTTATTTATAATAAGGAAAATTTTTAAGCTTTCAGCCAAATGTTATGTTGCACCTGACATCAAGTGATGTTGAGAACACTTTCGATAAACTACAGTAATGTTATTCCTATCCAACATAATAACTAGTGGCACTTAGAAAAGAGGAAGTAAAGGCATCAGGTTGAACAAGCTCCAATGATTTTGCTCATATCCATCTAAATATAATCCACTTAACCAAACCAAAACAGCAACCAGTGTAAACACTACTAAAAAGCAGGTGCATTATGGCTCTGTCAATCACTTTGTAATATCAAAATATTCATCTATTTTACAATTCAGCCTCACCAGTTTATTGAATTATGGTTTCTAATACCATTTTTAAAAAGATCTTTAACAAAATTATAAATAGGTTTATAGAATACATGTATTCAGCTGTTCAAAAGACTATCTTTACAAAATTGGTTTGAGAAAATATGACACAACAAATGAAGGATTTTCACAACCCTACTGAGGCAACAGGAGTCGCAGTGTTCATTCTGAAATTCGTCGATCCCCCAAAGTAAAGATAGCTTTTTGAGTGACTGTACATGCTAAATAAGAAGTGCCCGAGGGAAGGTCTGGAAGCCTTACAAATACACAATATGCAGCTTGGGTCATTTCCTGTCAAAGGAGCAGACACTGTAATATCAAAGATGAGAGATCAAGACAACACATGAGACAACCTAAAAAAAATATATATATATTGTATACATGTACCAGTATTATGGAAGAGAGTACTGCAGGAAACCACAAAAAATAGTGCATAAAAGCAGGGACTGTACAGGTATACAGTAGACAGGATTAAAAGGGAATTTGATACTGAGGGTGAATTAGTCTATACCAGTAGCCACTTATAAGGCAACAATACAGGGCTGAAGATTTTTAAAGCAAAATGATTTTAAATGACAACTACAAGAGTTTCAGCATTCTCATAACAAGGAATATTCCATCATTTTTAAAGCAACAATTTTCAGTGTATCAAAAAGAGCAAGACTAGTGTACAGTATGGCTTCTGCTGAATCAGTAGTTTACAACACCAAAAATAGATATCACACAGCATTATGTACATATACAAATAATGTACAGAAAGACTAATTAAAGTATTTAAGTGGTGTGAACATTGGGAAAAGCAAGACCAGAAAAAAATTATTTGTACCTGTAAAGATGCAAGAGTGTCTTAATCAAATTTAGGGTGGATCTCTTCAGAGGCTGGCAGAATTATTGCAATGCACACTTTTCAACATGGATTTTTTTTTAAGTTCTTACAAATTTATGACAATTTTCTACAAGTTTTGATCAAATATGACCAACGGCATGAGTGCCTGCCCTCTGGTCACAACACTTGTTACTTTATCTGATCTGGGAGTAAGCTGTGACCCTGGGAGGCAAAGAAAGACCTAACAAATTGAGGCAGACAGGATAAGTTCAGTAGTACAGTGATGATCTTTCTGTATGATTTTCCATGAATCACATGCTCTGCTCATTAATGGTTGTCAATTTTAAATTCTCTATTTGTTAAAACTTACACAAAATAGAAACACAAGAGTTCCACCATATAATTTTTTAACCTTGACATTACCAGCACCCAGGATTTAATTTTCAAAACGAGCACAGCTGTACAAGTATGTCATAGGAAATTTTACTCTAATTATAATAATTAATATCCAAACTACAGTACTGTACTGTACATGATTGGATATTGCTATTTTGAAATATTTTCCTAGTTCATATTTTTTGCATTAGGATTTGTTTCCATATACTACTGTACTTTCTAAACTGAAGTACTGTACGTACAGTGATATCCCCATTTGCCGGTATGCAGTAATTGATGCAGAAATCTTCCGGGGATGAAAAATTTCTGGGAAACGAGATGACTCTCACAAGCCCGGAAAAATCCCACATGCTGGAATTTTTCCGGGTAATGGGAAAAGTTTGTGAGAGTCTAAAAAATTTTCTTCTTCGGAATTTGCTCCCAGACTTAGAAAAAAATAGGAGTTACCTGAATTGGCTCAGAATTTCCAGAATTATGCATTATATCATCCTCTGAATTTGTTCCCAGACCCATAATTTTTTTAAGAGTTTCCGGAAGTTTTATCGGAATATTCCAGTAAATGTGCCTGATTTTCAACCCTATAATTTTCTCCCAGATGAGTAAATATATATTTCTAAAGACTTTCCGTAATTTTCTAAAAAAATTATCAGAAAATGCACCTGATTTTCAACCTCGAATCTCAATTCCGAGTACTGGAGAGTTCCAACTACCGGGTAATGGGAATTCCAGCTAATGGAGATATTACTGATTCAGTTTATCCACAGGACAAGAACTAATAAAAAATATAATCCAAATCACTTTGCTTTATATGGAACATGCAAGTACAATATGCAGTACTACTGTACAGTATTAAAGAAAAAGTCAGGAATTCTCAAAGGGAGGCAATCCTTCATGAGAATTTATTATGACCTTTTAAAGCCCTAAAGAATTACCATTTTACCAAAATATGAAAAGCACAGTTAATCACAACAAATACTAAATAGATTCTTAAGTGCCTTCCCATTATTTTCCCAAACCATATTGCTGCCTGTTCATCAGAATAATGAATTTTAGAGGTCCATGTTCTGAAGTCAATTACATTGCAGTTCACCATTCTATAAAAATATTTTATCGTCAACCCACTGTATGAGGTAAACTGCCTAAAGCCGTATAACACACAACAGTTGTTTACAGTAGAGACTAAAGTAGTACAGTACACATTTCCTCCTAACTTAAACTATAATAATATCTTTTCCCTAAATTTTAGCCGTTTGTTTTTCCATCTTGCAAGCTTTTTCATACTATGCTGCAGGGTGGCCAGAAAAAACAAAAAACACTCTTCATCTTCTATCATCCATTTACTGTACTCTAACTGCTGTGATAATCCCATAAACTACTGAACATAATGCTCTCCTAGTATTCAAGTGCACTGCAAATCAATTCCCCTCACTTCTAGTACTTCTTTCACCCCATCCTTCCACCATCTTCTTGGTCTCCCCTTCCTCCTCTCTGAATTACTGTATACAATTTAAATACCCTGTACATACTGTACCAATCTTTCAATTACCATTATCTTAAAATGTCCACATCACGTTACTATCTTAAGTTCTAGTTTCATCAAAATTTTCCACCACCTTATTAAAATTACAGTAGGAACTGAATTCATCTATCATAGATTAAGTTTCCAAAACACCTACACATCATACTCTGCACTCACCTCTTATTTCAAGTCATTGTTTTGCATGATGACAAATACAACATACAAAACAAATTCAAATACTGTACTCATTACACAATAAGGTATTCACTACATGTCAATTTACCAGACAGTATTTGGTATATGCTTAAATAGGTCAAATAAATACAGTACCGCAAATAATGTACATTATACCATCAGTGTTAGGCCCTACAGCTAACACTGACAGTACAGTATTGTATATTACATAACTGACCTGATGTGTGGGATGCCAACACCTCCTTGCAGGATCTTGTAGACTTTGCTCTCATACAGAAGCTGGGGATGCCGTGCCTTCATGGCCTCCAGCTTAATGGCCACCTCCTGCAGCAGGGAAATTTCATTACCCAAAATATTCTCATAAAACTGAATGGCACATTTGGCCTACTAAAGGTTAATTTCTACCCAGTTAGCTCTCTGACCAACCTTACTAGCCTGGACTGTATAGGAAAAACTATCTGACTATAGTCACAGAACCTCCCCCACAAAACTGAATTTCTCCTTAGTACATACCGTAATTATAATACAGTATGTAGCATTATCAACACCTTGAAGTTGGCATACAGGACCACCTGAAGTTTAGGTACCCCAGCTTATTTCATCTGACGATTAACGACCCTAATGCTACCTATGGGGTAGGATAGGGTAGCATTAGGGGTGGTTAATCTTCTGTTGATATAAGGTGGGATGTCTACTCTTCAGGTGATCTGGCATGTGTTAAGTGTAAAATTTGCATCGTTTTATCAAAAGAAAGTGTTGAACTCATTTTCAGAAATCACCCTTATTGTTCTCATAAGAACATATTTGCTAACTCCAATATCTATTTTATTAATACAATTAAACAGTCAAGACAAAGGTAATGTAACAAAGAAAAGGCCACACAATCAACTGGCTTATACCAGTACTATCGCTCACACATACTTGCTCACATCCTGGCATTATTCCCAACTAAGGATTTTTTAATCAGAGTATAAAAACAAACACAAATTAATTTTTAAATGTAAAAATTACTGTGCTGAAACAGGAAGAGGGGGGGGGGGGAGTGCCAGCACCATGGAGTCGCTGGGGCCTCCAATGTCTTTGCAGGGGTCACAGCCATTTTTAATAGGACATGACTATATCATTTGAATATAACCATGCAACTCTTGAAGTTTGATTAGGTCAGTAACACAATGACATGATGCATCCAGTGTATTGCAGAGGACCTGAAGGGGCAAATTTTAGATCTTGGAAATTCTTTATGACTGGCAGTGGACGAATCAACAGATATCCCATTGCAGCCCCAGCTTCTGGTGCTCAGAAGGTTTCTCAGGGAGTTCTCAATACAGTACAATAGTTGAAGAACGGCTTGCCTGCATTTCACGCAAAAACCATCACCTAAGTTGAGGACATTTTCAATGCCATAGATAAGTTCTTCACAGAAAATAAATTGAAAAGTCATAAAGTAAGTTAATGTAGTACAAATGGTACCCCACCAATGATGGGGAAGAATAAAGAATTGTATGAAATGTTATCAAGAGAGTATCCTCACACCAAAGCAAACCAATACATCACCCATTGACAGAGCTTGTCATCAGAAGACTTGTCTCCAAGCTTCAGTAATGTTATGCAGATTGTGGTTACAATTGTTAACTACGTCAAGGCTAGGGAACTGAATTGCCGCATGTTCAAGCAACTGTGCATTACCAAAAAGAGTGAACACCAGGACTGCTGATATACACTGCTGTCAGATGGCTTTCTCGAGGAAAGACCTTAGAAAGGTATTTTCTTCTTTGCAATGAATTATTGTAGCCAATTTCCTGCAAAAACAGGGTCATACATATGCCCATTATTTCCATGACCCCCCCCTCCCCTTGCACTTCTGACAGACATGTCTAACTCACCCAATACTGAACTTCAAGAAAAAGGCAAATGGGTGTACAGGTATAATCATCAGTGTGCTATAAAACATTCTGGCAGCAAACTGCAGTGACTTTGCAGTCAAGCTGAAACTGGTTAATTTTTTTCCCCTTAATTGCTTAGAATTCACAGACACAAAAGATTTGGACTTCAAAAGCACAGTGGACCTTACAAAGGAGAAGCCGGATTTACTGGAATATTTACATAACCTGTCAGCAAACTTTCATGACAGATTCCCTGAACTGCTCACTTCCCATTCAAGAATACGGTAAGTGTGGCTCCTTTGTTCTTGAAATGGCAGAATTTCAGGTCAACAATGAAGCAAAAATTAATTTTGGCATCTGTGATGACCTTGCCAAATGTTGGATGAAATTACTGAAGACACTGTGGTTAAGAATTGTGCTGTTAGTGCTTGTACAATTTTGAACGACTCATGTTTGTTAAGCAGCTTTCTCTACATTGGTGTACATAAAACCTAAATACAACATGCCCTTAAAACTCGACGGGGTTAGGTTCTCAAACTGGCTGCAAATAGCCAAATCTGCGAATAACATTTGCTGACCAGGGTGGGGGAGGGGGGGGGGGGCATATTTTTATTCGTGTGCAAAGAAATATATACAGTATATTCCCTTTATGTGTTTGCCCTCAGGAAAAAATTTCTTTTACCAGCAGAGTATTGTATATCTGTGTGTGTGTGTGTGTGTCTACACACACACACACATATAAAATACAGGTGCTCCTCTACTTAAGAACGTTAAACTTACAAACTTTCAGAGATACAAACATCATCACTGAGGGGGCTACCTGCCAGAACAGGTGTTTAATGTGGATGAGACTGGATTATTTTGAAGAAAATTCCAGATGGAACAAACATTACCTAAGAGAAGAGTGAGCCAGGTTTTGAGGCTGTATTAAAGGGTATAGCTGTACTAAATATCCATAATCTTTTCATTTTTTACAATATGTTTGGAATCTACAAGAGTAAAGTTGGACTTAGACAAACTTCAGGAACTTAACTCGTTCGTAAGTCGAGGAGCACCTGTACAGGTAAAGGAAATTACTGTCTCTAGAACGAATGGCTCCTTGCCCCGGCTGCAAAAATATCAGAAACTTTAAAACTACCCTTAGACATTCTTGGGTACTACATCCAGGTTGTCATCCGAGAATAATCGAGGTCTGCAAATTAAAAATCTGCGTTTTGTCAGGGGATGCTGTACCATAATTGCATTTCAAATATCAACTTAATAAACAGCTTGCTCTGTTCATACCCCCCCCAGGTATAGCACAGAAAATTAATCAACTAATCATATGTACTGATATATGCATCGGCTTACCCCGTCTTGGTTACTTGCAATGTTGCAAACCTGTAAATTGTTCTTACACATGTCAATAAATACACATGAAAAATACTGTTGTTTACCTATAGACTCATTAATATGACAAGATTTAAAAATAAATGCACTCTGTTACTTATATGTTCCTGGTCTCTTGAAATCAGTGCATAAAATAATGAATATTTGCATAATAGAAATTCAGTCCAAATTGTCTTCATAAAATATTATCTATGTTCAGTTCCCAATGCTCTTGATATTTCTAGCACCAGAATAAATTTATCTTTATATAATAAACTATGAGAGATAATCTTATTGCATTAGAGTAAAATAGCATGCAGATGCACGAGTTTCATGCACAATATACGTATATGTGACATGTCAAAAATCTGACCTTGTCTTCCTTTACCACTTGGGGTTGCACAGGACAGCTGACAACATTTAACCCGAATTTAAAGGGGGGAGCTAATTGATATAAATAACAGTCAGTGATGCATCACAAAGTAAATGATTTAATATTCAACAGCATCTAACAAGGTTGTGATGTACATTACAGGTATAACATGTTAACAGTATGGTGATCCTGTACTTGTTTATACAGCTACTAAATACTGTAATAAACAAAAGATAACATACTGTACTCATACCATGGCCTCATTATGTTAAAATTATTCATAGATTACTGAACCTGCTAAACTGTACTGTATGTATTATACTTTACACAGCAATTAACTACCAAATGCTCGCAGACACTGGCTGAAGATTGGTCTCGGCACTTATGATATCCATCTGTCATTCAGGCCTGGAGCAATTGTTTGGTAAAATCAAAGCCATGTTTGTACTATTAAAACCCAATTCATTAACACAAGGTAGCACTTATGGCTAATTATATAACTCCTGTGCTTCAGCCACACTAACAAGTCAAATGTTCTATGTAATACCATATAGTTTTAACTTCAATTTTGGAAATATTTTTGTGCATTTTATTACTGCCTTGGCAGGATAATATATCAATAACATTACACTTAACACTTATGACTATTAATCATAAAAGAACTTAACTTCAGCTGTTGTACATTTAGCTAGTTATTCTACATAAGGGAGTCACTTCAAGAAGGAAAGAGTGCGATATAGTCTTCAAATTCATCAAAGGTACAGCACAGTACTATTATGTCATATCATGACTCCAATGGTAACTGTGGGTCACACCCTATAATTTGTACACATTCATAATTAAATGAGTAGATTGGTAAGCCTTCACTTCCAATACCGTACTCCTCTTTTTATGGGTCAGTCAGTGCCCTTAGTCATGGTACACCTAATTACATTAATTAAATAAAAATGTTTACAGAAACTTTCCACTTGGAAAGAGTTTAAATGATATCCAAAAATTTTGCTACCTGTATTACGGTACTGTACATACCAGCACCAGTACTTACACCCCTCACCACATCACTGATATGTACTGTATAAAGTATAATCCACTACTTAAGTGTTGTCTCATAACTAATGTACAGTACTTGTATATGCTATTTATAATATATATCTGATTTTTTTCATGCTTTTAAGCAGTGATGTCTTCACTTAAATGTTTTTCTTCTGTTAAGCTTTAATTAAATTAACATCCTTTGCACAACAAATTTTTATTTCTACTGTACGGATAAGTGCATCATTTAATTAAGAGTTGAAATTCATCATTAGTGTTCTAGAATTACTGCTTTCATCATTGGCTACCAGATACTGTACTGATATTGCAGCCCAAATGGTGATAAATATGAAGGATATGTTATTTCATATAGACTCTACGACAGTACCATGTAATATACAGTACTGTATACAGTATTACCCCGCCTAACGCGGTTTCACTTAACGCGTTTTATCATATACGCGGTGCCTCGCCAGAGCTGAACTTTCATTTAACACGGATTTTTTCCACATATACGCGGTGAGTGTCCGGCTCGAGACGCTATTTTTAGATTTGCCCCACCCGCCACCCTGCCTGACTGCCTGTTTAAGCTCATAAAATTCATACAAATTACCCGGCCAGAATATAATTTACATTGCTGGAATTCTTATAATTTGGTGATCATTTTGAATATAAACATCATATATTTTGCATTAGACATACAAATTTTAGATAAAATTTTTTCTCTGAGTAACTATGTTATCTTTTGTGCAAAATATATGACATTTATATTCAAAATATTCCTGGTCTTACAAGGAATCCAGCAATGTCAATTGTATTATCCTAACTTTAGTTTGAGGTATTATTTATTAAAATTTAGTGGTTTTCCCCCAAAAATTTCTCAGAGAGGGAAGAGCCGGCAGTGTAGTGTGAGAGGGGGAGGGAGTTGAGTCCATTATTTGAATGGACATTAACTTGGCGACTGTATTTCTCTATTTCTCTTAAGTATTAATTGTGTGCATGTACCATCATAAAATTAAGATGTTATTTTTACTACAACATAGTTATGTGTCTTCAAAAAGTGGAGTTTGGGGGTCGGGCCGGTTTCTATTGGAATTAATCCCATATGTTCTGTTGTTCACTTAACGCGGATTTCACTTAACACGGGACCCTCTGGGTTCTATTGACCGCGTTAAGTGGGGTACAACTGTATACTGCATGAGTAAACAAAAAAGTCTCATTAACTGAATAGCAGTAATGTGTTCAAATAGTTCCCACAATACAGCAGACTGGGTTGCTTATGGACCTACAGTACTGTATAATGGAAAAAACACTGCGTAATATGCACAATGATGGCCTGCCTTATGCACAAGTCACTGTTTGCTTATCTTAAGACAAGATTGTGATACTGTAACAATTTACTTGGGACTTTCACTACAGTATTTATGCTACTCTACAATAAAGAGAAGGTAACATTTATATTCATTCACTTTCCTAATACAGTACAAGTACTGTACACTCTCAACAAAAACTTCTCAAACACCTGAGCACAATGGATGTGAGAGAGAGCAGAATGGGGCTTGTCATCTCTGAATGGTTTCAGATTCTTCGTTCATTTTTCAGATTGCAAATTGCTAATAGCGTTCGAGAAGTTTTGGTGAGTGTACCTTAGAAGTATTTTTGGTGGTCCTGGAATATCAAACTTACCATATACTGTATACTATTATCAGTCATGGCACATTGCAAATTATTTTATACAAAGTGATTATTTGACTACGCCAGGCTGCAGAAAAACCATCAGGTAATTGACCAGGACCCACGGAGATTGTGTATGAGTTACTGTACTATGATTTTAATGGGAATCTGGTCAGGATGGCTGTGGGCAATACACTAGTCATCACACTATTATTTAAATGTTGAATTCTTTATCAATATCTTCTTTAATCATCTTCTCAAACTCCTAGATATCTTACTTCTCTCATGGACATATAGATTGTACCATACTGTATTATACAAATTATACAAAGTGGGTTTGGTGCTACTATTGCATGCAGTCTATAAAGATGTCTTTAGTTTAACCTAGCCTAACCTGACCTTACCTAACTTGACCTAACCAATAATGCATATACAATAATGTACACATTAAAATCATACATAATCCACAGTAAAATAGCCAATGGCTATTTGGCCAGACAGCGGTCAAATAACCAAGGGTTATTCAACCAGATAGCAATCAAATAACCCCCTGCCTATATAATAAATACTATACCCCGAAAGAATACAATTGGTTCCAAAACTACAATATAGCTTTGGGGTGAGTTTACTGTAAACTGGTACCACTCAGAAATGGGGCAAAATATTCAGCTTCCAATTATAATATACCAGGTATGTTTTGAAATAATTAACAGTTACCAAGCTTATCCCCTGAAATTATTTTTACTCATTAAGTAATCAACCAGTCCTCATTAAATCCAAAAAATAACAACACAACAAAGTAACAAAACAAATTATGTCTTCAGTAATCTTCAAATTCACACTTAAAAAATAATATTTGTGTACTGTACAGTATATGCCAACTGAAAATTCATATGAATATTTTCTTTCTATTATGGAAATGGAAAGAAAGGCAATATTCAACAAAATATGAACTTCAAATTATAAACACAAGTAAAAAGTGTATCCTGAATAAACGAATACAGGTATTAAGATCAAGCAGACCTTTCCACTTTGTTTTACTTTGTTCATATATTTGACTCAATTTTTACATTACAAGTAGACAAATAATTAATCAAGATATGACTAAAAATTATGCACCACATCTGGAATCAGTTTCCAAAACATCATGAACATACATATACACAGATGACTAAATCATCATGATTATTATCAAATGTCATTAGCTGCAACAAACAACTGTCAAAATGACTTACAGCTGAATAGAATGTGTAAATAATGCAGAATTTTTTTGTTTTACCAGTATCCCAGAATAACAACTGTATTTTGTTGTGATTATATAAACACAAAACATTGCTACATCCTCGTATTTAACATAATGGCCCTCACCTAGCACTGATCACACATGATATACTGTACTGTGGTAATAAATAATAAAAAAAAAATTCCTCATGAAACTCGACTCAAGGTCCGTGAAAACCAGTCCTAACACACGGCCATTTCACCTTCCATCTTCCACTATACACAACTCAGGATTATCACACAACACAACATCACTCGCATCGTGATTAAGGCCAAACAAAAGACGAGAATATACAGCAAGCAGGGAGGTAAAAGGCGAACAGATGATGGAAACATACCTCTCCATTGGTGATGTTGATCCCCAGGTAAATATCACCGAAACTTCCACTCCCTATTTTCCGTACCAAGCGGTACTTTCCTCCCACCACGAACTCTCTGCAGCCTATAATTCCAGACGACATGGTGTCTATGTATCTTCAGGATAAGGAATATTCCAAATGCAAGGCTAGAAGGCTAAATAACTCCGTAGTTTCTCATTGGGAAGACCAACTCCTTTCACGTCCAAGATGAACTGATCGTTTGCTCGCAGGCAAGCAAACCTAACCAAAATATTCTCTGTTTACTTTACTATTCTCCCCCTTTCTAGCAATTTCTAGCCATAATTATGTATTTCACGCGTGAAATGTTCCGGTCTTGAAGCTGTGGCGTATTTTGTCTCGGAGAAATGTGTGAAATCAATGAGACATTATTCTATTAGGTTGGTACCAATGCTATTTCTCTCTTTCCGTAAGTATAAGGAAAATGGCGACGACTGGCTCGCCAGCCCTTGTGTAGCAGGGTCCAACACTCTCTGTGATCAGCTGGTGCAGGATAAGACCTTCACAACATATTACTAGGGGGTTCAATAGCGTTATTCTCGATGAAAACACAAAGGTATACTGTGTTCGCTTTCGGATCTGGCGGCGGGATGTATGAATGTACTGAGACTATATATTAATCTTCAATATTATCATAACGTGCACGTATTTACCAAGGATGAAAGCGTCAAAGAAATGCAGGAATATTTATTTAAAGCAGAGGTATATAGCAAGTACAGTATAAATTTTCCGCAAGTGTTGAATACAGGTGTTGTTATATTCTTCATAATTATGACTCAACCTCTTCTGAGTAATACATAGTTGGATGAATTTCTCACTTCGTCATATATGCGCATCATTTCTCTGCCGGGGTACTGTGTGATAGTGAACGTCGTCATTTATGTTTTTCACTCTTTTTCGTCTCTGAGCAATGATATCCATTGTAATTTTACAGTATCATGTAATGGTATAAGTACAATTATCACAAAATTTTGCTATGGATAATCAGTTGATAAAGAAGGAAACATTAACTTTCGTTGCAATAACAACAAATAAACGAATTGTCGTAATAATGCTGACAAATCATTACGGAAAAAATGCGTGACAACAGAAAATAAGCCGACTTATCCACCCTTACAGTCACCATAATTTTGGCTCTAACTATTGCAAAGAATACAACATCCCTAAAATGCTTCAATGAATTTATTAGGCACAAATATACATTTATTATAAAAATAAATCTAAGAAAAAACACTGATCTCCATGTGTTAAAACAAATCTAAAAAAAAATTCAATGACATTTTAACGCTCGAATTTGAATGCATTACAGTCGCAGAAGTGTGTGGATTTAAGTGTAGTAGAGCTGTGAGGTCCACGACTCCACCATCACCTCGCTTACTCCTTTAAGAAAATCGAACTTTAGTACTACAGCGAACGTGATCACTGGCTCGAAACTTGCAACCTGCAGTGTACGAATCTACATCCTGCGCTTCCAGATTACCAAAAAATATTCATATCCTGTAACTGGGATTGGAAGATGTATTTATGAAAGTTATATATTTAGTTGAAATTCTAACGCCATTTTGTGTCGTATATTTAGTGGGTAATTGCGTTCCTACTTACTAATTGACGAGCGCCAAGTCACCATTTAATTATAAAGACCTGATACTTTTTATGTACTCCTAGTACTGTACTCTAGCCACACTTTGGTGGGTGCTGGGTGAGGTTCATTTGTTGTCCCCTTATTTTACCCTCACGTAATAATTCTCTTGTCTTCTTACATTGTTATAGGCCGCCTGCCTTCCGGTCAATTTGCCACCCTCTGGGCGTAATTCATTGAGTATAAAACTTGCAGGTTTTCTAATATATATGCATTATTTCTTATCTTAACCCCAATATATGAGAACGCGTTAAACATGAAGATAACCTAACCTAGCCTAACCAAACTACACTGAGACTATATAGTATGTGTTTTTTAACCTCCAGTTAGGGATATAAGAACATAAGAACATGAGAATGGAGGAAACTGCAGCGGGCCTATTGGTCCATACTGGGCAGTCCCAATATAACCCAACCCCAATCGCTCATATATCTATCCAACCTATGTTTGAAGCTATCCAGCGTATTCGAGTTAATGATGATGTTTGGTAACTTCCACTCATCCACTACTCTATTTTCAAACCAATGTTTACCTATCTCGAGCCTAAATCTAAATTTGTCTAATTTAAAACCACTGTTACGAGTTCGCTCCTGGTTGGATAGTTTGAGTACTTTTGTAATGTCACCTTTGCTTCGCCCTGACTTCCATTTATACACCTCGATCATATCGCCCTTCACTCTACGTCCCTCGAGGGAATGCAAATTAAGATGCATTAACCTGTCTCTGTACTCAAGGTTCCTAATGCCCTGGATTAGTCTGGTCATTCTCCTCTGAATTCTTCCAAGGGATTCTATGTCCATTCTGTAGTACGGTGACCAGAATTGAACTACGTTATCCAAGTGAGATCTCACAAGAGCAAGATATAGTTTTAGGATGACCTCGCTAGTCTTGTAACTAACACTTCTTTGTGTGAACCCAAGTACTTTGTTAGCCTTGTTTCGAGGAAATACACATTGCTTACTTGGTTTAAGATTCCTACTTATTACTCCTAAATCTTTCTCAGTCGGATTTCTCTATAACATCGTTGTTCATCTGGTATCTGGTTTCTCTGTTTACATCTCCTTGACAAAGTACTTTACATTCGTCCCCGTTGAATTTCATCTGCCATCCACATTAAATTTCATCTACTATTTTTTATTTATCTTTTATTAATCAATCAATATTCACAAAGATTTTTACGATGAATAGCCCTCGTAAATTAGTTGACTTTAGCTGAAAAATGCGTCACTATTGTAAAGACTATTTCAACTAAATACTTTCCCTTAAGACCAGACAAACTTGCATATTTTTTCGAAGACACTCTTTAATGCAAGATTTTTCCGATGAGGCGTAGTGTACTGTACGTGATATTTGTATGTTAATTAATCGGGCCATATTATCGCTTCTCCCTAATAAAAGACCTTTCTGAGGAGGTCGTATAGGGGCTGAAGTTTACTACGTATATTGGGCGATTACCCTGGATCATATGGACTGACATTCATGCACACACCTTAAAGCTTCATATGTACAAGTTTGTATACTGTCCCAAGGTATTATTAGTTGGATCGACGCGACGTACAGTTTGCCATCGTTTGTGTACTGCAATATTATATTATGTGCACAAACTGAATCAGTGTGAACTTATATGATGGTTTTATTGAACATATTTATATCGTCTACCTATCTGAAAATGAATCCCATTGGTATGACTGCCTGTTAGGGACAGTGTGGATACAGCAGCGCACATATTAAGCCTTAGATACAGTCTTGTTCAAGATTCTTCAAACACTGTTGGAAACAGCTTGCAACTCAAGGCCGTTTGTTTACTATAGTACGTAGTAACAATTATGAATGATTGTAAAAGGTTATCAGACTCGTTATTTAGTTCCCCGTTGCTTAATTAATGGTTGGGCTTTGTTGTTTCGTATTATGGGCCAATTGCAAGAACGGTTATAGGGTGTACGGCGCCATTTACGATGACCTTCTTGCCCTGGTCTTTTTTCAGCAATATCGCCTGTAACACATGGAATTCTGCACTTTTCGAAGCTTTGGAGGAGTCTCGAAACAAGTTTCCTGGTGGGAATTATTAGCTAGTGCTGTACTCAAAATATCGAAACTTCGAGATCTGTCCAGAGCTTCAAGAGGGTGGTATTCCTAAAACAATATCAGGGCAAGAAGGTCATCGTAAATGGCATCGTACACCCCACAGACTATTCTTGCAATTGGCCCTATATTATACTACGTACTATAGTAAACAAACGGCCTTGAGTTGCCAATTGTCTCCAACGGTGTTTGAAGAATCTTGAACGAAACTGGTAAATCAAGGCAGCATGGCCGATACTGCGCTCGACCGCATTCACTTCCCGAAGTTGTAAACTTAGGTACCCATTTACAACTGAGTTAACTGGGAGTCCCCGGGAATAGGACCACCAACCCCTGCAACAGTAGGCGAGTGCTGTATCCACTACAAAAACTTTAACGTATAGGTAGAATTACAGTAGTTTCAACGGGTACTGGACGTTGTTTCAACATAGTACCAACACTGAAATAGTCTTAAGGTCATTTTAGAAAGCGCAACCACGTTTTATGCCGGCTGGGAGTGTGTCTATTTATATATCTAAAGTTTACAGATTATATATTTCCTACTTTTTTGTGTATCAACAATAAATTCTGTTTTCTCTTATTTACACTGCAATTACTATTGACTTTAAGTACCAGTAAGGCAATATAATAGACATGGATATTCTGCTGTATCACAGGAAATATGAGTACAGTATTGAAAAAAAATTGAAAAAAAATATAATTGAGTGTGTTTTTAAACCACTTTTAGCGCCGTCAGTCAATGAAACAAAATTAGGAATCATTGGTAAACATTCGCCACGATGTCCGCAGTGCAGCCGTCCCGAGACTCCCAAGTCCATGCGTCGCTTACCCGTGTTCATGGACACTACATTCACTGCTGTTTTCACGATTCCCCTGTCAATTACACATTCCTTTGCTCTTATGACACTATCCTTCTCTCTCCTCACAAATTCTTCTTTTCCTCCCTCACTCACACACATACACTGCTTCTTACAAAAACTTTTCCTCACACCTCCGTATAAATTTCCTTATTTTACCCCTTTCACAAACTATCTTCCCCCTTTCTTTCATGCACCACACAATCACTTGACAACTCTCTCACACCCTTCTTCGCTCTGACAGTCATCCCCTTCCACTCTCATACTCTCACACCCCTGCCACCTCACACACTCCTCACTCTGCAACTGAGGATTTCCATTTTTCTCAAATATTCATCTAGTGGTATTGAATTTTCTCGCAGTTTCCAACTTTCATCATCATTAAATTTTCGCCTTCTCAAATCTGCACTGTTTATAACACACACACACACACACACACACATGTGCAGACATGCCTTCACATCCAAATACACAATAAATATTCTTGTAAACAAATATAAATTCATGAATAGATTACACCCGAACAATTTATAAAAATATAATTTTGTAACGCAAAGCGATGAAATATACAGTCTGGCCTCTAGTCACGTCCATAGTCCAAGAGTAGCAGGTTTCATGACGTCATTACTAGGGAGTACAGCTGCCAA